TCCGGGAGATTACCAGCCAAGCCCCAAGAGCCTGCTGTGAAGGGCACCGAGGCCATCAAGTTCCCCCATCCACTCAAAGAGGGAAGGGAACTCCGGCCTACACTGCAGGAGTGTCCAACTCGTCAGACAACAACTCCGAAGATGAACCCCTGGTAAGTGGACCCATCGCACACCTCACCCAGACAGTGACTATACTAGCCCCCTCCATGCCCGAAACTGTAGGAGTAAGGGCACTGATTGACTCTGGGTGCATGTGTTGCCTCATCAGCCCTACACTAGTAGGAAACCTGGGCATTCCGGTGAGGAGGCTGAAAAAAAACGATTTCTTTTTTTTTTTAAACAAGTTTTATTAATTTTTGCAGTTTTACAAAAATCCAAATATTAAGGAAGCAGCATGGTGATTGGGTAATCAATAGTCCAATAACAATATCTTTCGTACATATATCAGATTGCATCATCAAAAATTCCCTCTCTATTTCCCTTGATTATTATATCACATTCAGATTCATACATTGCTAATTATAATTCAATCAGTTAAGACATTTATCAATATATTTTAACATACATATCCATATCCTGTTTTAAACTTTTACGTAATTTCAATTACAGCGTTCCAATTTAGCTTAATATTCATAGTATTTAGATTTCAGGTAACCCAAATTTCCCTTAGTTCATTACAAAATAGTTGTCATATCTAAAATACACATAATGTTTACTTAAGTAGATTCTTACTTTATTTCACAAATATATTCTATTTCTCATCCTAGTACCTCATCACTTACTAATAAAATATTGTAAATCTAAACCCTAAATATTAAATCAATATCTTTTAAAATCTCCTTAGCCCATTAAGTAAGATTTTAGGCTCTTCCATTGTAAGACAAAAAATCCCATTTTTAAAATCTGACTCTAGCTTTCTTTTTGTGCCAAGCAAGCTTCCATACCAGTGCCAGGTGGATCTCCCTTCATTCCCACATATGTTATTTGAATCAAGGGAGACCATCCAATTATCAATTTTTCAAAGGAACTGGCCCCTTTGTAATCATTGGATTGTTGGCCTAATAGTTCAACTCTCCATGTTTGGTTTACTATATTTGTCATCAGCTCGGTGGATTGCTCAATTAAGAAATACCTGGCTGGTAGTTAGAAAAGCACTAGACAATGCTAGACAAGCTTACAAAGCACAAGCAGACAAGAAAAGAACTGAACTGGAGCCATTCAAAATAGGAGAAATGATTTATCTCTCAACCAAATACCTAAGATCCCTACAGCCATCAAAGAAACTGGGACCGAAATACATAGGACCGTTCCCAATCATTAGAATCATAAACCCAGTAACAGTAGAATTGAAACTCCCAAAATCACTCAGACAAATCAACCCCATTTTCCATTGCAGCCTCCTCAAGCAAGAGCAACAGTCGCCTTTAAGACCAGCTGTTGCTCCGTCTTCCCCTCCCTTTATTTATTTATTTATTTATTTATTTATTTATTTATTTATTTATGAGACTTATATACCACTTTAAGTGCAAGCACTCTCTAAGCGGTGTACACCAGTAAGCAATGTATATATATATTTACATTGCCCCCAACAATCTGGGTCCTCATTTTACCTACCCCGGAAGGATGGAAGTCTGAGTCAACCTTGAGCCGGTGAGATTTGAACCACTGACCTGCTGAACACAGTCAGCTAAAGTGGCCTGCAGTACTGCACTCTAACTGCTGCGCCACCTCGGTTCTTATGCTAGAGGGAAAACAACATTTTGAAATAAAAGACATTCTAGACTCCAGAAAATATCACGGCTCAACCCAATACTTAGTAGTCTGGAAATACCTTCCATCTTCCCAAAATGAGTGGGTCCACAAACGCCACATTAACACTCTGAAGTTACTGAAAAGGTTTCACACAGAATACCCAAACAAACCTGACTAACCTATGTGCCTTTATTTTTATCTCTCCACAGATGGACCTCTCTTTTTTTTAAGGGAGGCAGGATATCAGAACCCATATCAATAAGTTCCCCCTGTTCCCACTTTTGCTATTTTCTCTTCTTTCATCCTAACCCGAATCTCACTCTCTTCTCATCCTGGGTTCTGCCATACTCCTAGGGACACTTTTACCTATCGATTTTAGTGGGAACTCCTCAGATCCTGTCTAGTATGCCTACTATCAGCTTCTCCTATTAAAAGTTCCTTTTGGAAGAAACTGCTTCCATGAGTTCTGCTTTCTTGGGATGAGGTTTTGAAGTGGGCCCTGACAGAAGATGGGGCACTACAGAAAGGGGCAACATGGGGCCTGCAGAGACTGCAGAGAGCATGTTTGATAGGGATACAGTTCTGGGAATATCAGGGAGTGGGGTGAGCAATTGCCTGGACAAGCAGCTGCCCTTGCAAGCACAAGAGGGAGAAGCCATGGAGGCACAGCAGCAGTGAGTAATTCGGATGGGAAACAGTTGCCTCCTCCGCCTGACCCTTGGATAAGGAAAGCAAAGCACTGTGAAGCACAGCAGAGGTTGGCAAGGCTACTCAAGAAAGTGGCCTCACACTTCCTAATGAGAAACATTAGGTGAGGAGTGATTTAAGGGAGTGGAGTGGTTGGTTGTCAGAGATAATCACTTGTTTTTCTCCAGTGTGACATCTTCAGCTCCTTGTTTTGCCTCTTGCTTCATTCCCATGCCTTGCCTTGATTCAAGTTCAAGGAAACCTTCATTCCTTCAGCCTTTTTCCTGGATTTTGTCGGTGTTCGACTTTCATAATGAGACCTGTTCTTGCCTCATGGCATCTCTGGACTATTGAGGTCTCTCGAGTGTGCTGGCCATGTGCTTAGGATGGTCTTCCTCTATTCTATGCTCAAGCATTACTGTTTGATGGCTAGCTATTCGCCTCCCTGTTGCCTGTGTCTCTGGTGTTGGACTGCCACTCTTAGCCAAGCCCCATCAGCAAGCCCACTTGTTGGGCGGGATAGTGTCCAGTCATGGAAGTCACTCCTTTGAGCTCCATGAATTGCATGGAAACTAACTGAGTGGTCTTGGGAAATGTTTGAAAGGATGTAGTTGTGAAATAAATATATCAAATCCTTCTGAAGTGTTAATTGCATGAACTGGAACAGAACAAAGTATGTTGGACCCAAAAACAAACTTATGCATCACCAAAAGTACACCATACCCAGAGTGAAGGATAATGTTGGTAGCATTATGTTTAGAGCTGCTTTTCTTCACCTGGAACTGGTGCTTTAGTCAAGGAGGAGGAACAGTTGAACAGTTCCAAATGTCAATCAATTTTGGCATAAAACTTTCAGGCCTCTATTAGAATGATGAAGAATATCAGGGCTGCCATTCTGCTATTCTATGCATTGCCTGCTGACAGCCTGCCATATGCAACCAAAGGGGAAGATCACTGGGATAAAGGGAGGGTTAGTATGAGGAATCAAAACCATGCATCTTGCCATCCCATGAGAATCGCCAAGGTCACGTAAAGGAATGCAGAACCAACTAGCCCATAAAGACAAGAATGGTTACCCAAACAATTTGTTAGCACCCAACTGGACTCTCTGATAACCAGGTGGGTGGATGGAACTAAGAGGAAGTTAACTAAGTTAAGAATGCCCAAAGTATGAAAACCCCGGATCCAGCTTTGCTTCTTCTGTAACCACTTGGCTTTAGTAAAGTGTATATTTGGCTAACCATGGGCCTGGGAGTCTTTCTTTTGTAACTGACCAAGTTGGGGCAGCTGACGAGGAATGTCATCTTTCAGCATGACAATGACCCAAAGCATACCTCCAAATCAGCAAAAGAATGGCTTTATCAGAAGAAGATCAAAGTTTTGGAATGGCCCAACCAGAGGCCAGACTTGAATCTACTTGAAAATCTGAGATGACCTGAAGAGGGCTGTTCACAAAAGACGCCCTTGCGATCAGAACAATCTGGAGCTCTTTGGCAAGGAAGAGCAGGCCGATTCCTAAGGCAAGACATGCTACGTTGAGATGGTCCTACCCCAAAAGACTGAATGCTCTCATAAAATCAAAAGGTTCTTTAGCAAAGTATTAGTTTATTGGTATCAATTTTATGCAACCACATTATTGTAAGTTTTTTTATTGTTGTTTTTACCCTAAAATATTGCAGTTTGTTCTTCAGTTGTAGTTTATATTATATTAAAAATGAAAAATATTCTGAGGTGATATACCTTGGTCTGATTTTTTTTACATCTCAAAAACCTGGCATTTTAACAGGGGTGTGTAGACTTTCTATATCCACTGTACACAGAGGTATTTCTAACTATGTAAACCATATACAAAGAGACTCACTATTATGGGTTTAAAGCAATGTTAAAGCAATAAAAAATGACCCCCTCCTCCCTTGGCTCGGAGTCTCCTAAAACAGCTGCCTAATTCTGTGCGGTGGGTGAAACAGCTTTATCTCAAAGGCTGGGGGGGACTCTGGGGAGCAATCTGCCACATTTGAATGGGTCAAAGGGAAGTTTGCTGCCCCTGTTGAGGGACTGGCAGCTTCCTACTAACTTTGTCCTGCAGGGGCTTCCTTCGAAAGGAATTTGTTATGGAATGTTAAATCTCTGAATCTGCTCACTGACCTCCAAGTCTTGCTACAAGGACCATTTCCCAACAGCCGTCAGAAGAATGAAACCTCTGCCATTTTTTGTCTTGGAGCAATCAGCATTGGCATTACTGCAGCAAAGCATATGCTTAGCCAACCTTTAAAAATTAGAACTGCAGGCGCTGTTTCCCTTGACAAGTTTTTCAACTTGTTTTTCAACAAGTTATTTCCCTTCAACAACCCTTTCCCCCCCCCCCCTCCCCAGCAGACTATGGCTGTCTTGTTGCTTTGGGGAGCAGCTCCCATCACTCAGGGTAGCGTAGCAAAGTTCCCCCCGCAACCCCTGGGCTTCCTCAGAAAAGAGAGGAGTGACCACCCACCTATGTCCCATGGATTCCAGGAAGAATAGCTAAGTCAACCTGCTGATCCCAAAAATAAAACTTAAAACTGTACCACTTGCTGAAGTGCGCTCATTCTGCTTGAGATTTGTGCCTGGCCAGTCTGTTGAATCCTGTGGGAAGAATGTTGGATGACTGTCTGAATCTCTAAGTTAGGAATGTGTGTTTAGTCACCCGTTACACCATGTTGCAAACGTTTAGCTTGGCAGGTGGAAAGCTGCTCTGAAAGTTTCCACTGAACTGGGAGGTGGTGGCAGCAAGGGCTATGTGGACCAGATGCTTACAAACTGGGAGATGTTGTTCTGAAGCCCCTCCATTTTTGCTGTGAATAACCAGGTTTGCCAATCGGCTGAAGTGCAAGCATGGTCTGCTAGTGATGATGTCAGAATCGATGGGATTAATTCCTAAGGGGCTCTTAATAGGACTGATGCCCTTCAAGGCAGCCCTGCCTTGCATGTGTGGATTTTGCTGCTCACATGCCCTTCACAGCGTGCCATGAAACAAGGCAGAGGGTCTTTGGGGGCTTCTGCTAGAATGTGAGCCTTGGCCTATATCAGTGGTGTATATCAGACCTTTTAGAGACCGAGTGCCCAAAATGCAACCCAAAACCCACTTATGTATTGCCGGGTGCTGGGTGGGCATGGCCTTCAGAGCGATTTTGCACCCCCTCCCCCATGGCCAAGAGAGAGCAAGAGCGCAGAGGGGAGCAGCCTGGCCCTACCTTCCTCTGGGGCGATGGCGTGCGTGCCCACAGGGACGGATCTGCATGCCACCTGTGGCACCAGTGCCATAGGTTCGCCACCACGGGCCTATATCGTCTTCCAGCTCATAATTAACTCACTTACAACCTGTCTTTCATATAGAGCATTCCCACAACCCTGTAAGGCAGATTTGGCTGAAAGTCCCCAAAACTTTCATGACTAAAAGTGGTTTGAATGGGGCTTTCCACTGGTCTGTTGTTCCATTACCTATTGGTACTAGAGGTTTGCAATTGCTGGACATGATGAAGGTAAGTTGCAATTCAGATAATACATGACGAATTGAAATTGGGGAGAGAGCGCGAGTGTCAAATATTAACCTCTCTACCATGCTGCGTCTCCATTTAGGACAGTAAGTCCATAGCCCACAGGAACAATTTGTAAGCAGATTTTGTAAAATCCTGTTGACCTTTCTGTATTTTAAGCTGTAAATTTTACACTCCAGTTTCCTGTCCTGTGAGTTACACATCATTAACCATACACCTTTGTCTAGAGGGCTCTTTTCCTAGGCCAGAGGAGGAGATGTTACAAACACACACAGTAACTCATGCTTCTGAGGAAGTTAAATACAAAGCAGAACAATAAAATAACAAGGTTGGAAGGGACATGGAGTCTTTCAGTCCAACCTCCTGCCCATGTCAGAAGACACCATATAATTCTGGACAAATGGTCTTCATGCTCTTCTTGAAAACCTCCAGTGATGATGTGCCCACAACTTCTTCTACCCATTACTTCTTGTCTTGCCTCTGCTGCTTTGGAGAAGAGGTTGAGCTCCTCTTCTCTGTGAGAACCCCTTGAGTACCGCAAGGCTGCTATCATGTTGCCCCCAGTCCTTCTCTTCAGTATTTTTCATACCCAGATCAAAATCATAACAGATGGGACTTTTAGAAAGGAGAAACAAACATTACTGGGGATTCTGGTTCAAGCACCATGCGCTCTCTGATAAAACATGCTTTTTGCTCTTTAAACTACATTTAATTCAAGAATAGAAACAACTACAATGGATATTTGCCCACTTTTTCTGCCTTTTATTAGCAGAAACAGGAAAGCAGATAGCTGTGTTGTAAACCTCATTGGTCTCTACATTATTTCCTACCATGCAGTTCTTCCCTAGGGAAAAGGTACATATTTTCTGCTCTTCCCTACTAGGTCAGTGTAGCCATTTGCAGAGAGGAGTGCCTGGCAACCCCTTTGCTTTTCAATCAACAACTGGCTGGGTTCACGAATAATAAGAAGCTACAATCCTTGGTTTACCAATGACAACATCTCAAGACAAAGTCAAGCATTAGGGCTCTGTGGGATCAATGAACCCAATGGAACATCAGAAGCAGCAAGAGAAGTCCCTCCACCCACGTTCTATATACCCAAATTCCAAAAGCAGCCTCAACACAAAACAGTCCATGCAAAGGCCCTTCTACAGCAAATGATCATGCCAGCTGGATATGGGCAGAAAAGGGTAAATGAGGGAAATCACAAGGGGTAATTATCACAAATGTCTCACCTTTATTGTTTTTATTAAATAACTCAAGGTGGTGAACATATCTAGAAATCCTCCCCTATTTTCTCCACAACTATTTGCCTCTGAGGTGAGTTGGGTTGAGAGAAACTGGCCCAAAGTCACCCAGCCAGCTTTGCTGCCTAAGATGGAACTGGAGCTTTAACCACTAGATCAATTAAATTAATCTGTATTAAAAGAAAAAAAGAATGAAACATGTAACAATGAAAATCAGAAGACTGCTGCAGAGGTATCAAAATATAACAAACATAAATGAGCATTCAATATAATCAATAAGGCATGACTGCCTAACATTTAGCCAAATATGGAGAGATGCTACCAGTCATTGACAGGAAGAAGAGCAATGGCCATTAAGTGAGGTTTTATTTAATTTTTTTTTACTAAACACTTCTTTACCACACAACTTTTCCTCTATTTTATTTTTATATGCTGCCCATCTCGCCTAGAGGAAATTCTGGACAGTTTACAATCAAATAAAAGCACCACAGTAAATCATTATTCCTATTTATCCTATTCTTATTTCCTGGAAGCTGTTTCACTGATTTCATCTCCAAGTTCCTCCTCCTTTCATAGCTTAAATTCTGATTTATTTATTTTTTGTTATTTACAACTCTAGAATCTCAGGGCTGGACTTTATAATCCACAATTCAATGTGTTAATTTGTTTTTATTTCTATAAACTCCTTTAAAAAAAGATTCCCTGTCCTGAATCTGGCCATTCTGATCTGACCTGGGGGGGGGTCTTGTTCCCCCCATTTCCCTGTCTATGCTGCCTCTCAGTCTCCTGCCCAGCCTCCTGGTGATGGGGGTGGGTGGTGGAAAGGGAGTTGGGCAGCTAGATTTGCTTGGCAGATTATAACCAGACTTCTAAAACTGAGGTTCAGTGACTACAGAGGTCAGAGTAAAACTCCCTTGACTATACCTCCTTTCCCACTTCTTGTCAAACTGCTTAAGGAATCGGGGCAGGATCTAAATGCTCTCCTAGGGCTTCTGTCTTTTTCCTAATATTAGAATAGAATAGAGCTGGAAGGGACCTTGGAGGTCTTCTAGTCCAGCTCCCTGCTCAAGCAGGAGAACCTATACCTCTTCTTAAAAATCTCGTGATGGAGCGCCCACAATTTCTGGAGGCAAGCTGGTCCACTGGTTGATTGTCCTCAGTGTCATGAAGTTTCTCCTTAATTCCAGGTTGCTTCTCTCCTTGATCAGTTTCCAACCAGTTTCTTGTCCTTCCCTCAGGTGCTTTGGAGAATAATGTGACCCCCTCTTCTTTGTGGCAGCCCCTCAGATACTGGAATACTGCTATCATGCCTCCCGTTTCTTCTTTTCTTTAGACTAGCCAAACCTAAGGCCTGCAGCCATTCTTCATATGTTTTAGTCTCCAGGCCTTTGATCATTTTAGTTGCTCTTCTCTGAATTTGATTCAGTGCAGGCAAGTCCAACCTGAGATTTCAGGAGGGACACAGAGGAGTTGCCCTATCTGTATGCCCCAGCCTAAACCCTCATATCAACTTTACCACATCGCAAAAAGCCTGGGAAGCCTTATTGGGCAGGGAGGGGGGGACAGAGATGATAAAGGGAGTCTCTCTCATTTATACAAGTTAGTAAGTGAGAGACCACTGTGTTCCCTTTTATGGGGGTGGGATGGGGAGGGTAGTTGTTTCAAGTCAGAATGGACTCCTGGCGACTATTAGACATGCTTTTTGAGAAAGCCGCATTGATGTAGCTTCGCCCTGCCTCTTTTACTCATTTAGCCAACCCTAATGCTGGGATTTCCTGGTGCTCTCTCACCCCACCCCTCCTAACCTTTAGGAGAGCAAACAAACCAAAGGCAGATCTATTCAGCTACTATCTTATATTGAGGCCCTATATAGAAACATAGAAAACTTGATGGTAAAAAAAAGACCCCGTTGTTGTGTCCTGCGCCTGCAAAGGCAGGCTCGGGACGTTGCAATGGTCCCGGGCAGTTGCAAGCTGCCCGGGACCAGACTGGCTGGCGCCAGCGCTCGCACACATGTGCGAGGTGCGCCGCGCGCCTAAATGTTGCTTTTTGGCCCGGGGATGGTCTTTAAGAGAGGCTGAGAGGTTTGTTCTGCTCAGAGTTGTAATGGGGGCTACTGAAGAGCAATAAAGTGTTCCTGAAACCACAGACTGTCTCGCGCCGTCATTGCCATTAACCGAGGACTCAACACTGGCGACGGTGGGATTGCCTTACAATTACACAAAGAATTGTAAGCTTACCCTGGAGTCCTGAGACAGCGAGGAAACGGCGTTAAATTCAGCAACTGCCTGCCAATACAGCTTCGTTGGAGGTAAGCTGGCTGATAGACCCTTCCTGCTTTACTGAAGATAGCAAAGATAGGGAAACTTTCTGAGTTTGATGTTACACATCCAGAAAGATGGGAATCTTATGTGGCCCGCACAGAAAATTATTTCAGAGTTAATCAAGTAAGAGAAGATGGCTTAAAGGCCGCCACCCTACTGTGTGTTTGTGGTCAAGATGCATTTGAAATTGCTGAAAATTTAGTAGCCCCTGCACCTCTTGAATCTGTTACCTACACAGATTTAAAGAAATTATTAAAAGAGCATTTTCAGCCCAAGTTGTCTGTTATTGCTTGGAGGCATACTTTTGAACAGAGGGATCAACGGGCTGGTGAATCAGCTAAAGAATACATTGCTGAATTAAGAAGAGCAGCTAAGCATTGTGAGTTTAAAGACTTAGAGGAAAGGCTGAGAGACAGATTTGTATGTGGGCTGAGAAACAGAGATGTGCAACAAAGACTTTTCACTAAAGAGGACATATCGTTCCAAGATGCCTTGAGAGAGGTTACCGCAGAAGAGGCAGCAAGTGGGGCAATCAAGAATATGAGGCCTATCAGAAGTACTCCAGAAGCTGTTTCCGTGCACCACGAGGGAGTCCAAGGAAGCTCGGAAGAGGAACCTGATGAAGAAGTAGATCATCTCTACCCAACCAAAGAAGGGAAGCAGAGGGAAGGCAAAGAAAAGTCTTCACCTGTACCCAAGTGCTTCGGGTGTGGAGGTCGCCACAAGAGGACCGACTGCAAGTTCCGTTCTGCAATCTGTAGAGCATGTGGGAAGCAAGGCCACATAGCAGCTGTGTGTCTGGGCCATCAGAAGGTACAACCCCGAGAAGAATTGCGCCTGAAAGGTACCAGGGTCCCCAGCCAAAACAGGGTGGGTTTCTGTGCTTCACGAAGACGCATTTATAGGACAGGCACACACAAGCCACTCAAAAAGAAACTGTCACTTAAGGTGAAGTTGCAAGGGGTTCCATTGGTCATGGAACT